CCGTTACGTCATCTACTCCATCTACTACGTGACACCTCTCCCTTCCTGAACAGGCAACGTCCGCGTTGCCGTGAGGTGACGTCAGAACAAAAGTTATAAAAAATAACAAAAAGTATGATACACGTATATCGACTAAAATAGAGTATAACACTCAATGTTAGTGAACATTATTCTATACTGTTATCTCAAGTAACAACTCTACAGCTTATAAGAGTCCTGTAGACTGTCCATAATCAACGAATCAATGAATCAGTTCTTTATCAGTTCTCTTAGTTCATCAACAGTGTTTCCTCGTGCCCGCATGGCTGTCACGCGTCGCCACTCCGCTCTCCCCCTTGGTGACCGGCTTGCGCGCTCCCGCCGTCTCTGGACACAACACGGGACCACAGGAAACGTCAGTCAGGAACTCCGTCCGTCTGGAAGATGCAGTGCTGGGTCAGTGCCCTCGGCATCCCGGCGAGGTGCTCTCACGACCGCATCGTTACGTCGTGCGCGTCGGACCGTCTGGACGTCGTTTTCCTCACGTCGATCCTGTGGAGTTCACCTGCAGGGGTTGGGGTGGGGTGGAACAACGCATGCAACCACTGGCACACACACATGTACTACAGTACAACCGGTCTTATTCTCCTAAGACCCTACACAGTGGCACCAACCACGTGCCCTGCAACACGAGATCTCGTAATGCCTGCGGCCAGCCTACCGGGCTGTCACGAACCGCACACGGTACCAATGTACCCTTCAACATGACACCTATTGTCACCTCTCAAATCTCAGCATCAACATGCCCTCAAAAAACTCAGTGGCACCACCTGCCACCCACAACTCATGGCATTTAATTCTACGTAATTCATAAGGCAAATGCTGTAAATCAACGTACTAGTAATTGGGAATCTGTACATTAGCCGATGAATTTTCAGACCATAGACAGGGTTCCCAAATTTGGCATGACTTTAATATGTAGCCATGGTAGTCCTTAGTCTCCCTACCTAACTCTATCAATGAGAGTTACCCATGGAAACCTAAACTGATGTTCCTACCAGCCGAATGCTCTCGTGATGCCCAAACATTCCCGCTACCCGGCAATGTTGCCCGAATGTCTGGCTTTCCAAGGCATCGTCCTGCAATCAGCTCCTACCCCTACTGGCATTGGGACCCACCCATTCCTATCCCTGTTCATATACACATTGAACACACTACAGTATTAGCACGTTAGTATAATATAAAACACAACCAACTAAACTACCATACTGTATAAAATATTCAACTCAAGGCAAGGGTCTCCCTTCCTGCTTGCCTTGCCAGGACCCACAAACTGTACAAGTGGTTCCCGGCCCACTAACTTCCGAGTCTCCTCTGACTCCAATTCCGCCCAACAGGCAGCCATTACTCAGATGCTGACGAACTTCAAAATTCCTAAACATCTTTCCCTAGCTGAACACAACTGGCTGACAAAAATTACAGCACAACTCACTGTTTGAAGACAATGCTATGCTGCAATTCTAGGTAAAACTCAACATAGAAGCTACAGTTTTTACGACTAAGGAAATCCTAAACAACCCTTGCTAACAAAGCTTCTACATAATTTTAAAAAGGACCGGTGCTACTAACAGTGTGCCATGTGGAAGCAACTTGTCGTTCCACCCACCTGCTCTGGTATCCAGCTCCACACCAGTATCTCCTTCTCCGTTGTAATGTTGGATCGTCCACCCCAGCCATCGCTACCAAAATGTGGCGATGAGGACCCCAGCCGTACTACCAAAATGTGGCGATGCTCCCTTCTAGTACGGTGGTCTTTAGAGCTTCGTCCACAAAAGATTAGTCGGAAAGTTGTAGTTGTTAGTGTAGTTTTATTCCCAGTCAACGGAGTTACACAAAGTTGAGCCTCTCTCGCTCCGCTCAAGAGAAGACTGACTCAAGAAACATCTATCTCCCTGATGACAACTCTGTTTTACCTTGAACTAAATTAAGGGACTTGTTTACTACTTTTTAATGAATGGACTTCTTATTACTGAACTTGAAGTTGTCCCTAAATCTGTGTTATGTGGCCTAGAAGAAGGGACTATTACCATATTTAGTTATGTTTTACGGTCCTACCTTACGTAACCTCAATATACGTGTAACCTCAGTGTTCCACCCATTAACCCTTACATTCCTACTGTGTCCTTAGACTGTGTCCTTAGATGTCCTTACAGTGTAAACAGTGTCCTTGAATGGTAGATGACCTTGAATGTCCTCATGTTGGATTTATATTGATTAATATAGATATTAAATTAACCGTTACGTCATCTACTCCATCTACTACGTGACACCAGCCAATGTTGACAGTGACACACGACGGCGTCTCTACATGTGAAACCGAGAGAAAAGCTGCTGCCAAGGCAAAGAACGAAGGGCCTGGAAAACCCACAAACGAATGAAGGGCCAGGAAAACCCACAAACGAACGAAGGGCCAGGAAAACCCACGAATGAAAGGACTGTCTGCTCCAGTAGACTCGCCCCATACTGTGCAAACTGGCTGTCAACTCAAGTCTTCATACATGTGAACTTGGTAAAATGTTGCAACCCTTTGAATAGTATTTGAATAGATTTCCTTTCTATAGTTGATTAGTTTTAAGTTGTAGTAGTTTGTTGTAGTAGTTTTAAGTTAGCTGTAGTTGATTAGTCTTAAGTTAGTTGTAGTTGACTAGTTTTAAGTTAGCTGTAGTGGTTAGGTCTAGTTTTCGGATTGGTTAATTTTTGAATGAATCACTCATGATCAGTCATCATCATCTTTGACCCAAGTGCTGAGGACACGCAAGTTATTTTTGTTTCTGAGTTGGAGAACAGTTTAATTTTCTTCAAGTTTTAGGATTAGTTGTAATCTAGTTTTAGGATTAGTTGTAGTCAGGTTTCAGTTGTAGTTCTCAAGTTGTGAGGTTTTTGTTCTCACTAGGCCTTCATTTTTCATGCATTTCGCTTCTACTCTAGCACAAGTAGTGGCCACCTTGTGCTCGAATAGATCCAAAATGTATGAATACATGGGCTTCGAGAGCAAAGATCTTTCATCTTGAATAGTCCTTTAGGTTTTAGTGCTAGGATATATTTATAGTGAGTTTTTTTTAAAGCCAAGGTTTGAAAATACATTTGTACCAGACACAACCTGAGCAACACATTGTACGCTTCGTGATTTTAATAAAATCTTCAATCCATTTCCTGTCGCATTCATTACAAAATGGACAGTTCCTTATCAACCTTTTCTCTAGTGTTTCAGTAAGAACTGTTCATAAACCCCCATGTAGTTCTTCCCAGTAAGTGTTGTGAAACCCCCATGTACATAATGCTCAAAAAGCCCCAGACAGTGGTTTTTAATAGTAAGTGTTCTCAAAACCCCCATGAAGTATCTGCTTGGAGAGTCACTATCCACCCTACCTTGTATCTGCTTGAACATTACCTATCCATACCACGCTGTATCTGCTTGAAGATTACCTACCCATTCCATGCTGTATCTGGTTGGAGATCACCTATCTGTACCACCCTGTATCTGCTTAAACATTACCTATCCACACCACCCTGTATCTGCTTGGAGATTACCTACCCTGTATCTGCTTGGAGATTACCTATCCACCCTATCTTGTATCTGAATGAACATTACCCACTCATGCCATGCTGGAGATCACCTATCCGTACTACCCTGTATCTGCTTGGAGACCACCTGTCCACACCACACAAGTTGCCCCAGCTGCCGATCTGAAAAGCCCTAAATTATACGGTTTTGACGGGGTGTATGCCAAAAGATTCAAATTTATATATTTAAAATGTTAATGTCACAAATGTAACTTTTAAATGTCATATCTGAATCTGATGCATAGCCCAGTAACGTTACCAACTTTTAGATCATTTGGTCACAGCTTAATACCAGATTTGATCATCGAAATACAAGCAGATAAAAGGGGAATCAACTAGGCAAAAATTTGAGCAAGGACTGAAGGTTAAATACGATTTTAAACCTCCTTGGTTTGAGAGGACTAGTATCATATAGTCCTAAGTTTTAGACATTGCCCCCTGAAATGGTAAAATGGTACATTCCACTGGAGGTGTCATAGCCTGGTAACAGCGACATCTAGCGAATGGAATGATCATTGCAGGTACAATTTTCGGTAGGGTTTACAAAGCGTGCGATTGAGAGGCAGCACAACGACTTTGACAATTTGGATGGTTTATAAAAGATATTCGCTATCATTGGACATGATTTGGTGCCACATTAAACAGCAATTAAAACAACAATACGTTACGTAATTAGCATGAATGTGAAGATGTTTTCTTATGCAATAGATTGGTCGTGCCACGTGTCGCCGCGCCGCTGGTGTAGTGGTATCATGCAAGATTCCCATTCTTGCGACCCGGGTTCGATTCCCGGGCGGCGCACTTGTTTTTGCATTTTGCTGTTTCCCCTTTTATCCTTACATAACATCCCGTTTTCGTCCCTACTTTATCGTTCATTAAATATTTTCCCTTATTCTTGCTTTCATATTTATTTTTCTAGGTAGCGAAATATTCTCTGTCCAGGACTTCTTTCAATAACTATTTCTTTGTCCAGAATTAGCATCGAATTTAATAGTAGTCCATCTCAAAGACTTGTATGAAAGTCAGGAACCAAGTTTTTGTTGGTGTAGTCAGCACTGTCCACGAATGATTGACACCTGTCAGAAAGGAAAGAAATGTGCACCGCGCACGAGTGACATCTAGCGACTTTATAACAAACTGCAGCAAATTTACCGTCCCTGTACTATTGCATCAGACACTCCGATTTACAAAGGCTGTTCAAACACAACAGAAATTGAGCCTGTACAAAATTACATGTAAAATGGCTAGATTTGCAAACAAAATAAATTTATCTGCAACAAATAATATATTTGCAGAACATTCTATATACTATTGTGATAAAAAATATGGATTTGGGTTAGTCAAAACTGGAATGGTGCGTCAAAAATACAGGCTTTACAATAATATCGAGAGAGACAGTTTACATTCATGCTTCCGACATGGCGGCGGGAGAAGCTAACCAAAGTCAGGGCGGAGAAATTTCGTCGAGACAACCGCATTTAGCCAAGCAAGATGTCGCCAATTTGGTGAGTATGGCTCCTAGACAGTGTTAAGTGTGTAAGGAAGGTAAGGTCCCTTTCAAAAGTTGCGATTTGAGGCAAAAAATTGGGCTGAAATGTGGGAGTGACAAACGTGGCTTTCCACCATCTGGAAACATGTGGTTAGGTTGTGGGGAGGGGGGCGAATTTACGTGCTTCGAGTCAGGTATGTTGTAGCAGTGAAAGTAGAATCATGTCCAAACTTTTACCCAAGTCAACTTGGTCATATGTTAATATTAACAAATAACTGTCTTATTTGATGCCAATGAGGAAGATATGTGTCGGGTAGACGGTGGTAGCGTAGACTTTTTCAGAGGAAATTTACTGAATATTTTTGATGCACATAATTTTGACCATACTAACGTCATGTGTAATACAGTTTAAAAGATATTATGAAGATATAACATCCACAAAGCAACGTTTATAACGAGTATATTGTTTGTGTCACCAGAACATTTTGATAGTTTACATGAACAACAGGACATAAACTGGTTCTCTAACAAGTTGTTGCAGCATGGAGTACTTGGCAAAAGACTGAAAGACTCTTTCAGTCTTTTGCCAAGTACTCCATGCTGCAACAACTTGTTTTTGTTTCATCATAAACTCCTGTGTTTCACTCCAGTAACCCTGCCTTCAGGTTTCAGTGATGTAGAGCATAAGAAAGGCTTTTCATAGAGGCAGCTATATATGTACTAATGTTACACAGCAGTGAACATTTTATTTAGGCATATATGCCATATGCCCCAGGCCCAGCATGCTTGTTTCATTATGTTGTTCATTATGCTTTTGTTTTTCCAGGATGTGACCAAACTCAACGCCCTCACACCGGAGGTCATCAGTAGACAGGCTACCATCAACATAGGTTTGTATCATAATGTTTCTTATGGAACAAAAGTAGACAGATCTTTTCATGGATGTTAGTGGAAATAGCCTTTGCAAGTAAGTGAGAGAGAACTGCAGGTTGTCATTAGAGATTTCTGTCCCCTACAGGAACCATTGGCCATGTGGCTCACGGCAAGTCTACTGTAGTGAAGGCCATCTCAGGAGTACAGGTAGGCTGTGGCTTTAATCATCATCATCATCATCATCATGGCTTTAATCATCATCATCATCATCATCATCATGGCTTTAATCATCATCATCGTGGCTTTAATACTGCTGTTTAAAGTTAAAATATTGCTTCCTATTCAGTACATCTATCTACAGTTTGTCTTTTATAGTCTGTATGTTGGTGCCTGAATGATATTGCTGTGTAAGAAGGATTTATAAAGGTTTAAGGGGTGACTGCTTTAGTATTTTGCATGATAAGGAAGAAAGCTGTGAGGAATTCAAAGAGGCAAATCCTGAAGTTTGTCAAGTGTGTCATTTTGATATTGTGTTAATTCTTCTCCCACAGACTGTGCGGTTCAAGAATGAGTTAGAGAGAAACATCACCATCAAGTTAGGATATGCCAACGCAAAGGTGGGCTTAGAACAGTGTGTAAAAACTATCCTACATTTAAAGATGTTAAGTTTGTACTATTGCTGGGATTTTAATCATGTTAAACTAAAGGTTTGTGTGAAACTTTAAGAAAGTCTTGAAAATATCTAAATTTGTGACCAAAAATGAGTTCCAAGTCAAGAGATGTGATCCCTAAAAGTTTCTTTCTTTATTTTCTGTACAACTGTAACACAGGTACACATGTAAGGCAACATGTAGAAGACAAACTACATTAATCTAGTACAATCTACATACAGATTCTAACTAAGCTATACAAATAGATAGATGAAGATGACACAGCGAATGGTGTAAGGCAAAGTGTTGTATAACTTAAGACTACACGTGTACTAGCTAATAAATTCTTGATCCCTCCCCTCCCCCAGGTGTATAAATGTGACGGAGCGACCTGCCCCCGCCCTGACTGTTACCGCTCCTGTGGCAGTTCTAAGGAGGATGTCTTCCCCTGTGACAGGATGGGCTGTAGTGGCAAGTTCTGCCTGCAGAGGTCAGTGATTTGTATTGTGGAAAGACTGAGAGGCTTTTACTTCTGGGTATAGAAGTATTGTTTTGAGTGGCTGTGTGGTGAGTTTGTGTGTTTTGTGTCTAGAGTACCTTGACAGCATGTGGGTTGGGGAGATTGACAGTCTGTATGACAGGAGAACAGAAGCTCGGGAAAGAACATACCAAGCTGGAAAAGGAAGCCAAATTATCTTGAATGGGGGAGAATTAGATGTTTGAAATGTGGTACCTGTATAAAAACTGTACAGAAAACTGTCTTGAGGCCATTCCCCTGCACGTCAAATAAGAAGTTGTGACAGGCTGAATAAAAGTTCTAAATGGGAAATAATGCGGCTCCGGATGTCTTACTGAGGGACGACTGCAGTGTGATAAAGTTGGAACGTTGCTTAGGTTGAGGCCACTTTGCAGTCATTTTGTGTTTGTGGACTGCCCCTGTTGTTCATGGTTAAAAACTGATGTCTTTTTGCAGGCATGTTTCGTTTGTGGACTGCCCCGGGCACGACATCCTGATGGCGACCATGTTGAACGGCGCTGCTGTGATGGACGCGGCTCTGCTGTTGATCGCAGGGAACGAGTCGTGCCCCCAGCCTCAGACATCCGAACATCTCGCAGGTTAGTCTTGTTTTTTTATTAAACATTCTTTCTTCATGCTCAGGCCACTTTACATTGAGGTCATGAGGGAAAAGGTAAGTGTCAGACAAAATATATAACAAGGATACAGTTTACATCATTTAAAGTCCAAATAAATCTATACACATATTTTTACACATTGTAAATCTTAGATATTACAAGGAAGTAGTAAGACTGGTCAGTTTCTATTTAGCAAACATACATGTAATATGATAGGCAAGCTTCACGCAAAGGCCAAAATAAAAAGCCCCCCTCCCAGTACAGTTTTCTTCTGTGTCTGTTGTTTTAGCTACCAGTATAGATTTGTTTTTGAGACTTCACACATGAAAACTCTTATTTTCTGTTTCAGCTATTGAGATCATGAAGCTGAAGCACATCCTGATCCTACAGAACAAGATTGACCTGGTGAAGGAGAGTCAGGCCAAGGAGCAGTACGAACAGATCCTCAAGTTTGTACAAGGTGAGACAGGGCTGGACATACCACCAGCCTATACAGGTTGTAACTAGGGCTGCATACCTGATGTTACTCCTGTAGCTGTAAGCCATAGGGGCAGTCTTTCTGTCCACAAAAGTTCTCCATTTCGGCGGTCAGCTGGACCTGACCACTCTTTGACATCGCGGCTCAGACTTTCTTCGTAGAATTGTATGTGATGAGTTCCTTTCGCTCTGGATATGTGCCTGAACGTAATCTGTACCTGTATAAGATAAGCACCATTTTTTCACACTGAATTATAGATAGGCAATCTGCAACAGTTTAACACATAAGGAAAACTTGTAAATACCCTGACTGACAGGGGATACTAAACCCCTACAATTAAGGACCCTACTTATTACAATGTGACTTTTACAGGCACTGTTGCAAAGGACCCCATTGATTGCGATGTGATTTTTCCAGGCACTGTTGCGGAGGGCACCCCAGTGATCCCAATCTCCTAGTAATTAAGGACCCTACTAAATAAACGGTGTGATTTTCCAGGCACTGTGGCAGAGGGTGCCCCGGTGATCCCGATCTCAGCCCAGCTGAAGTATAACATCGAGGTGATCTGTGAATACATCTGTAAGAAGATCCCCATTCCTGTCCGAGACTTCACCTCACAGCCACGACTCATCGGTCAGTAGTTATAACTTCAGTAGGTCTTCTAGAAAACGCAGATTTATGGTGATTACATGACACTCATGCCATATTGGAGTACAGTACTTGTTCTATGTTAACTTGTATGCAAAATGCTATTTTTAGTGTTATCATTATAATATAATTGTTTTATTGCAAATTCGTGCCCGAGGGCTAATTGCAAGTACAGAAGAAACATTTGGTATAAGAACAGGCAATTAATAACCCTTGAAATACTTGTGTTACATTTATCATAGCTTGTCATACGATTTTCATGTCACAGTTTTCAAGCAGCCTCTGACAGAGCCAACTGCCTGCAACCTTTTCTGAAGCTGAACAGTTGAATGTTAGATGACATGCACGACTGTTTCAACTTCATACAATTGCAACTGTTTACAATTCTATAATAAATGTAACTGGGCCCGTAGTGTATTATGAAAGCGTGATGTGTTATTGCTGACATCTATGTTGTTTACCTCCAGTGATCCGGTCCTTCGATGTGAACAAGCCTGGCTGTGAGGTGGAGGATCTGAAGGGGGGAGTGGCAGGAGGAAGTATTCTCAAGGGGGTTCTCAAGGTAGGGTTGTCTCTTCTCTTGTTTCTCTCTCTCTCTCTCTCTCCTTCCATCCCCCTCTTGAAAATTCCTCCTTCAATGTTTTTTTTAGTTCCTTTCATTAGATGGAGTTTTTGACATTAACTGAAGACCCTTCTTACACCTTGCTGTGTAACCATGTGTAGCAGTAACCATACCTTGGGCTACACAATGCCTGCAAGCACTACAGTATACAGTAGGGGGCTAGTCCACTGGTTCAACTCACATAACTCCCAACCCACATACACACAGGCCACTACAGCAGGGGGCTAGTTCAGTGAATGCATTGGTGTGTGTTCTTCTCCTAAATGCTAGAGTGCTAAGCAGAGAAAGCAGTCTGTACAATTTTTAAAGTCTTGGGTATCACCTGTCCGGGTTTTGAACCCATGACCTCCTAACATGTCCCCCTGCTGTTGTTATCCCCAGGTTGGGCAGGAGATTGAGGTGCGTCCTGGGATTGTGTCGAAGGACCACGAGGGGAAGTTGATGTGTAAGCCCATCTTCTCCCGCATCGTCTCCCTGTTCGCTGAGCAGAACGACCTGCAGTTTGCCGTGCCTGGAGGGCTGATAGGTGAGTTACAGGCAGGGATTGTGGAAAATTTTTAAGTTTAAGAAGTTAAAGATCCCCCTGCAGCCATACATGTCTATCATAAGGGATTGTGAAAAAAATGTACTGTCTGTTTTTGGACAAGCATTTTTAATGGCAGTTTTAATGGCTTCCTAAATTTCCTTTATGTATTTCTGTGCTGGTTTCCATCTTATGTGAATATTTTCAGGAACAGTATCCTATAACATACAATACTTTTTATGTAGACTCTATTTTTTGTTTGGTTTGGATTGTGACTCCACAATTATTTCTTGACCATGTCTTGTTTCTTTAATGAGAGACTGACCAAAAAGCTTGTGCAAGGGTTTAGTCTGTCATACACATACATGTAGATAACCTTCCTGAGTCAAATTCTCATCTTGTTCTCTCCAGGAGTGGGCACTAAGATCGACCCGACGCTGTGCCGTGCTGACCGGATGGTGGGGCACGTGCTGGGCGAAGTCGGCGCTCTCCCCGACATCTACACAGAAATAGAAATCTCCTACTTCCTGCTGAGGCGTCTGCTCGGCGTACGGACGGAGGGAGACAAGAAGGGCGCAAAGGTGAGGAGTCTGAGAAAATGAGTTTTTACTCTTCTGTCCTGTTTGTTTTGTGTAACCAGTTGTAAAGCACCTTTAGGGGTAACACACCAGGTTTGTACAGTAAGTACAATATGAGTTAAACTGAATAAAACTGGACTGTAACTTACAGTGTAAGGTTTGAACCACTCACACCAGGAAGGACCCCTACTCTTTTCGATAAATGTGGTGGGATCTTTAAGGTGCGCAAGGTATGGCTCTCCGCAAATTTGGGATCTCTGCCTGTGCATGCATGTTCACACCTAGAGGATGCCCCTAACCGAAGCTAGGTACTCATTTTCACCTGAGTGAGGAAAGGTGAAAAGTGCCTGGCCCATGGACACAACATTGGGGCCTGCCAGGGATTTGAACCCAGAACCACCAGATTCTGAGTCCATACTATTATGTGTTGAAGATGTTAGCAATCCTACTTCTAGATTCAAGGTGAGAGCTCATATCCTGGCTTGTTACTTGGTTTTGGTTGGCTGAACTATTGGTTTGGTTGTCGGTTTGTCCAGACAGAGTAGGTTGATAGTGTGTAGGTGGGGGAAAATTTACGGAATGAAAGGTCCAAAAGTCATACACAGGAAATGGGGGGGGGGGCTTGAAGGTAATAAAAACCCAACATAAAGCTGCACTTAAACCGTTCTGAAACTGTACTACAACTGTACTGACATTGTACAGAACCTGTACTGAAACTGTACTGAAACCATACTTAAACCACACTGAAACCGTACTGAAACCGTACTAAAACTGTACTGAAACCGTATTGAAACTGTACTGTTTTTCTCCCACAGGTCCAGAAGCTGTCAAAGAACGAGGTTCTGATGGTGAACATCGGGTCCTTGTCTACGGGAGGCAGAGTTCTCGCAGTCAAGGCTGATTTAGCCAAAATAGTCCTAACCAATCCTGTGTGTACAGAGATTGGGGAGAAAATCGCCTTGAGTAGAAGGGTGGAGAAACATTGGAGGTAACAAATTTGCTGTTTATGTACGATTTCTACAGTTGTACGATTTGTCTCATATTATTTTGTGAACAATATCTGTGAAAGTACTAGTAGTAGTTACTTCTGGGTGTGGAAGTATTGTTTTGAGTTGCTTTGGTTGCATGGTAGGTGAGAGGTGATTTTGCCATGATTGATAGGAAGGTCAAACCTGGAGGTAGCAAATTTGTTTTTGTTGTTTATTTATGACTTGTACAGTTTTAGGACATGATTTGTCTCTTGTATTATTTTGAGTGCAATATCTGTGAAAGATATTTCTTCCTGAATAAAAGTATCGTTTTGGGCAGTGCTGGTTTATGGTGGGTTTGTATGTTTGAATTGCAGAGTGTTGGAAGTTGAATGATAGATAGATCATAGTTGAAGGTGTGCATGAATTCCATAAGTGTTGTAAAATACCCATTAGTTTACATCATACAATCCCCATAATAGTTGGCATATCTTCACGAAAGCCCAAAACACTTCCCGGAAGTTTCAGTCTTGATTTCATGTTGCCAAGGTAACATTTCAAATTTTGTCTCCCCCAGGTTGATTGGTTGGGGCCAGATTAGAAGAGGAGTGACCATCAAGCCGACCACACAGGAGGACTGACAGCTGTCAATCAATCAGTATCCATAGCAACCGTACAGCCATACCAATACAATTGCTTGGTTCTGATATTTTTGCATCAAAAATTGAAATTGAAAAATGCAGAAAGTGGAAAGGCATATAGAAATTTTGTTTGAAATTATAGTTGGATCATGCAAATGTAAATTTTAACTTTTTCAAGATAAAGATGATATGAAAGGGGGGCCATTTTCATCCTGTGGTACAGAATCAAGTGAGCGTCTAAAATGTTGTATGTTCAGTACATTTGGCACAGATGGTACATGTAAATAAATAAGAGCCAAGTGATTAGATTGGTATGGCTACATACACAATGTAGGATAAACAAAACATGCTTTTTGTAATGACTGGTAAATATAACATGCACTCAGTAACAGCTGTGTACTGTCTTACTCAAGACGAGAACGCCTGTCTAAACTTATTTTTGTGATGTTAGCTCTACTGTCATACTACAATGTAATACATACATGAAACAGTTACACCTACCTTGTGGATGCCTGTTACATGGTTTAACAAGAGCATTATTAAGTTCTATCTACATTGTACACTTGCCCCTGTAACTCTTTGTACATGGACGTGTGTCTTGATTTACATGAATAGAACTGACTATGACATTTTGGATTGCTTTGCTGTACTGTCCCCCTTTACGAGTCCGAATATGTAAAACACAGCGAATTATCTGTTTCCCTTCCTGTGCTGAAATCAAATTTGTGGAACTTAAATCAGTGTAGCCTTTTGCAACAAAATTTGGGTTATTTAGATATCTGTCTCTTTCACTTACTAAGATACTGTAGTAACTGTATCCACAAGAATTCTCATTTTGTCGTGTCATTTATTCAGTTCTACATATTGGAACACCGAGTCTCAAGCTATATCCTGATTGATTTAACTTTGTTATAACAATTTGTTTGACTACCTATCCCTGTTACATATATCTCAATAAATGTATACCCTGTATGGGCCTTTTCTTTCATGCTTGTGTTCTTAAAACTGCCTCTTAAGTGTTGGCCAACAATATCATACAAACTTGCCAACAGTACACTTAAAATACAGCAATATCATACAAACTTCCCAACAGTACACTAAAGATACAACAATATCATACAAGCTTCCCAACAGTGCACTAAAGATACAAGTACAGTAGATCTACAATGTCAATGAAATGCCAAATCAACAATATTGCACCGATTACTTCTTCACTTAGTTTTTGCACCGATTACTTCTTTACTAAGTTTGAAACATAACTGATAAGTATCCACACTTTCATCACTGTCGCAGAATATATATTATACACAATATAATGACTCAATAGTTTTGATCTTGAAGCATATGGAAGTGAGTGGGTGGAGATTGCATTTCAGTTGATTGACAGTGTGCCCTGTGCCTAGGTTATGGTCAAAGTCATACAAGCGTGCGAGTATTAATCCATTCTATACACCTTGTAATTGATTTACGCACACTATATATACATTTACACACACACACATTTATGTACGGCAGAAGGAACCGGAGAATCGTTGTTGCTATTTAAGGCAGTAAGTAAGTAATACATAACGTTACATTTGTACTTCCGGAAGTTTGAAGTCACAGAGCTGGTGCTTGTTTTCGTTTTCTTAGCGCAAGTTCCACGGTATTTTGAGCGTGCATATGGTAGACCCAGACAGCCTGTCCGGTATGTCTCGGTCGGACCCCCACTTGTCGGTGTTGACGTCGTACCACACGAGAGCATGAAAGTCCTCCTCCGCCTTGCGTAGCACGTAGATTTTCCCGTGGAGTACGGTGACGCGACCGACGCCCACGGTGAAGGGCGGCGGGGAGAGGGCGCTCCACTGCCGAGAGGCGAGGTCCAGCCGCTCGGTGGGGAGGTGCATCGTGCGGGATCCGTCCGGACGGAGGTGGCAGCCGCCCAGGACGAAAACTGCGTCACCGAGTGTCTGGGAATAGACAAAAGTTTATTAGGGAAAGGTCAGCCTTTAATTTAGGGCCATTTAGGCCATGGCGTGATACTGGAAAAACATTTACAATTGTATGGTACGGATTAAAAGTTCTCGGACTTTTGGGAAGTATTTTTTGGTTGCGACCTTCAATGTCACCTCATTTCTTGTGGCTGACCTTTTGAGCTCTTCCCCACCCCATGCGCTGTTCAATCTATGTATTAATCTTTAATACATGTTTGTAAAACATTGTTTAAAAAGGTAGCTTTTGCAAATACTTCTTTGAGACTAAGTTGTAGCATCTACCAGACTTCAGAAGCCGATGGAAAGATCTAGAGAAGAAATATGCCAAACAGGTAGCTCACTTAGCCAATTTCTAATCTTTCTAGCCGCTTCTGAAGCCTGGTATAGGCTAAATAAGTTGTTCAGTAACACTTAAGGCACCCACCTGCATGACATGCCATCCCCTCCAGGTGTGCATGTCCGTTTCCCTGACCCACGCGTCCTGCCGTGCGTCGTACGTGAAGGTCCAACGCTGGTATCTGTTCCTGGCGAACCCGCCCGTCACACACAGCCGTCCGTCCGGCAGCGTCGTCCCAGCGTGCCCGTACACATGGCCAGGGAAACTCGCCAAGTATCTAGATATAAAGATATAGTATTTGTCAACTGTCGACTACACAATTCTCCAGCTAGCCTGGCCCAAAACAATACTTCCGCCCCTGAAGTAATGGCTGAAAATGTAAGAGGCTATTTGAAGTTCATCTGAAGGGGTCTATTCGATCCTGGATGCCAGGCCAACAGCACACTAGGCCCAGAGTTAGCTAGTGTGGATCGGGGTCTAACCGAGGGGAGGGGAGGAGGGGGAGGGGGTCTTTGGTATAATTTTCTTGGGGGCATGTTGGCCCTGGGGCCGAGGAACTGGCCCGTGTAGGCCCTGGAAACAGTCTGGCACCCAGGCTAACTGAGGGGGGCGTGGTATAATTTCCTTAGGGGTATGTTGGCCCTCGGGCCGAGGAACTGGCCCTAGAAACAGTCTGGCACCCAGGTTTTGTCTATCCCTACCTCCACTCGTTGCTCCGTGGATCGTACACCTCCGCGGAGTCCAGTGACTTGTCTCCATCAGTCCCGCCGATGACGTACAGACGTCCTCCCGACTCCAGGAACGCGAAACACGTCCGTCTAACCTGCATCGACGCCACCTGCATCATACAGGAAGAACATTGATCAAAGCATAGTACATGTACTTTACTTACAAGTACCATCATACAATGCCTCTATGTTACTAAAATTCATCGTTCGTCCAATGACCTGGACCAAACGTCTGTCACCATGGACATGGTTACTGGTGCTGTAGCAGACACTCAGTGGTGTTGGGTTACATTATGTAGCAGGACAGAGCTAGAGGGGCTGGTCACTATATACAAGTATATGGATGTGTTTGAGTAAGAGTAGATAGAGCAGTAATTTGTTAGAACATGAAAGTAAACATTATGTACATGTTTTATTTTGCAAATACATTTCTAGTTTCTGTTAATTACCTGTAACCATGCGTTTGTCCGAGGGTCGTATCTGTAGCAGGCGTCGCTCACTGATTCTCTGTTGGCTTCCGTCAGTCCGCCAACGACGTACACAAAGTCATTCAGCACTACGGCCCTGCATCAATCAATCAATCAAACAATCACTTACGTTAAACTACTGACGTTTAGAAAAAAATCAATCAATCTATCTATCTATCTATCTATCTATCTATCTATCTATCTATCTATCTATCTATCTATCTATCTATCTATCAATCAATCAATAGAGTGAGGGAGCGAAATCAATCAATCAATCAATGTGTGTAATAATGCAAAATGTGAGGGAGCGAAATCAAGCGATTACAAGATGGTCCTTGTATGATCAACTCTGGTCAAAAACATGTGCTTGAAGTTGAAGATATTTAATTTTCGAAAGCAAATGCCCCCTCACTTTACCTGTGCTGACAGGTTTCTTTGGGCATGCACGCTATCTCCTTCCACTCCCGCGTTCCCTCGTCATAGAAGCGCACCTCGTCCAGGAGTGTGTCCCATTCTTTCTCAAGTCCTCCTGGAAAAAAAACCCTGAAACTTTGAAAAAAATGGACTATCACAGGCAGAACAAAGCAGGTGCCTCAATGTTTGAGGGAAAAGCTTTTGCCCATTGCCATAAGGTTCATACCAGGCTTCAGAAGCGGCTGGATAGAGTAGAAGTTGGCCAAATAGACATATAACATGCCAGTGGAGTTAGTTCGCTGAAGGAGTATATAAAGCGAGAAACTATACTCCTTTAGCGGACCAATGTTATCTGTCTCATGATATGGCCAATTCCTACTCCAGCCGCTTATGAGGAGACAATCATTTACACAACGTATATACGTAACTCACCAATAACCACTAAGCTCTCCCCCGGCGCACGCACCCTGGTTCTGGGTCCCTCCACCACGCTCTGTTCGAGCGGCGACAGGTGAAACCACAGCGCCTCTAACAAACAGTCCTTCACCTGGCTGTTCTCCGTCAGAAAGGAATCTCTCTTTACGTGGTGCGAAAGTTCTTCTAGCGTCATCAAAGGAAAACGCACGTGCTCCAAAACACGTCCCATGTCTTTACTACGTGTGGAGTCATGTCTCAGCCACAGTTGGGCGGCGTTGAGCACTTCCCCTTCCCCGCTCACTCTAAGTTCGTCACTTTGCAGAAGTTTGCATAGCGTGTCGACATCCATGTGGAGGAACAGGTCTGTTCCTGTTACCTGGGGGAAGTTTTCTCCCATGAAGGCAAACACAGCAGCCTCGAGCTTCCTTAAATTATAGCTTTGCGCGAAGTTGAGGAGGTCGTGGCAGTTGTCCAAGTCGACGCATTCTTCGAGTTTCGCTTGGCAGATTTCTAAAGGTTCTTTCATGAGTAAGAATGAAGCTGCGCAGGCGAGATCCGAGACACTTTCTTTGGTCACAACCAAGTCGCCCGTGTAGGCGTAGTCCACTAGTTGATTGAGAGCTTGGAAAGCGACTTCCTTGATGACGATTTTTGAGTCGGACCGAGACTCCCGCATTCCGGACTTGAACATGGCCTTGAAGTAGTCGCTGCAGGCGGAGAGGACCGCTCTGTGGGCGGGAAGTTCATGTTCGTCCACCACCAGCGTGACGTCACACAGTTCTCCCGCCCTTTTCATGTCGTGCAGTCTTGAGGCGAGGTAACAAAACAAATACTAGTTAACAAAACGTTTTACTTCTACATCGCTCATAAAAAAGGAATTAACATTTTTGCTCAAAGATTAAAGTGATTCTTGACAAATCATGTAATGACAACTAGAACGGTAACATTTGCAAGCACTCCGGGACTGGATATAGAAGACAAAAAAATTATGTCCACTCCGGGAGTGTCAATAGCCACGTTCCTCCGTGAAACCTGCATCCTCCATGTCACTTGTGAAAAACGTGTTTTGGAATGAAATCGGAAATCGACATGCGGGGTCTCTGGGCGGAGTATACTGTATCGAGCCTTTGAAACTTTGCGGCCCGGCCGGTGGGCGGATCCCCGTCTGTGCGCTGTGATTGGTGCGCCGGAACTCACGTAGTCAATGGACGCCGTGCGGTCTGTCAGCTGTGCTGCGTACGTGCCGTTTCTATGGCAACGTGGCGCGGGAACTTGATCGGCGTTAACCAAGGACAACGTCCTTGCGTAAACAACGCCCAGGGGCTTAAAGAACCTTTAAATTATGCTTTGCCTCTTCTTTTATATTAATGTTTAATCTCTGGTCCTCAAGTCCGTGCGTCAACCTCTCCTATTTAGGAGAAAAGTAAAGAACTCGAGTGGCGACATGGCACGTAGATGCGTTAGATTTTAATTAGACCTGAGATAGCGCAAGTCGGGTGACATCAAAAGCGGTAGCTGGCCGTCCACATGCATCGCCTGGTCGGGCACAAAAATTATCATACCAATAAGGTTGTAATATTTTGTTATCGTTCTAAACCTTTTCATATTAAGCCAGCAGATTTTCCGCTATGAAAAATGTTTGATTAAAAACACTATACTGTTATTAGCCGCGGCGACTGTTGCAGGGCTTCTCTTACTTGCAGTCTTTTACGTTAGCCCTAACAACAGTCGCGGAGCGGTGCATTGGGCCAAATGAACAAACATGCGTTTTACCGTGCCGGAACACTTTGAGACCGAAGTTTGCACGTCCCTAGATTCCTAACAGCCTCACCTATAGTGCCCGGAAAAAAAGTGACGAAGGGGTTCCGATGGTTCATGTTTGAGTTTACATTTCTCATAATCTGCTGCAAAATGGGATTAGCTACTAACATGGCTGAAAAGTGTAAGAAGTGGCGTGTTTTGGGTGAAAATTGATTTCGGGCCCGAGACTTACTTCCGGGTGTCCTTCCGCCCTGAGCGCGGTGCTTCGGTTTGACCTAGTTTTGCCTTGTATGAGTTCTGGGGGTGCTGTAGCTATGCCTCGCGCGACGGGCTATTGTGATAATCTCAGTGTTAGGATTTTCTTTATACTTTTCTTAATAATACATAAGGGTTTTCTCTTTCCGACCATATAAGTCATATCGGTGGCAAAAATCTGGGTGATGGGTTTAATTCCACGTGAAAATGGCCAATTTTTGGCATCATTTTTCAGCGAAAAATTCTTTTTCCCCCTAAAATTTGCTAAAATGTGAGAGGTGAAAGAAATTGAAATTCTTTTGTTCTCGTAGCTAGAGGGATATCCTTCATTTGCAAACAGAGTGTTTTGGCTTAAGAGGTTTTTCCTGAAAGAGACGGTCGCTAGAGTTGAGGGTATGCAGAATCGAATTGAGACCCAAAATAAACTGGGGTGTGCCGGGGTGTTTTGCGCGTCAACCGGCCCCTGCGCGACTTGTACCGCCACTATTTGCGATCGCTCCCCATGTATTCATAAGCCGAGTGGCCGCCATCTTGGTCAGCCGCGCGCTGAATCAGCTACTTCAAATGTGCCGCTACTTTTCTGATCCATAAAAATAA